TGGCAAGAATGAAAATATATAAAGGACTGAGTGATTCTTTAACAGCTGTAATGGACACTTTTCCTGTTTTTACAGCAACAGATCCTCAACTCTTGCACATTTAGAAACAAATTTAAACCATCAATAACAAGCCCAAAATATTTTCATATATGTAGCTGCTTCAGTGCCAACAGAGATTGCAAGAAAGCTTAGAGATTTAATACTGGAGCACCAGTCATTTTACTATATGATAATTTTTTTTTAAATTACAAGCTTCCATTTCAGAGCAAAAAAATTACAGGAATTATTAATTGCAGAAAAATTAGATGAAAATTCTCATCAGTTTTGCAAAGCTTAGATTTTTAGCATTTTTGTTACTGCAGATGGAATGATAAATGTCAAATTTACTCAAAATATTCTGCTATCTTTAATAAAATGTTTTGTATTTGAGGAATAAAGTGCTATCACTGTTTTCAGTATTTTTAAATATCCAAATTTCTTCTAAAAAACTTTGAATCCGAATTTTCTTCTCTTTGGTTGCATCAATAAAATGCTCATTATTATTTATAGATTGGTTTAGTAATTGAATGAATGATTGGCTTAGATTTTAACTATGCCATGAAGCTAGTTTTTTTAAATTCATCACTGAACAGTTATTTTAGTTTTATGCAAATGTTTTAAATTATTTAAAAATACATTTAAGGTAATAATAAAATTTTTCTGTTAATAATTTGGATTTGGCAAGCACATTATATTTTTAAGAAAATATCTTTATATTGTTATTTCCAAGTTATCAAAGTAGACTTTCAACTGTTAAATTATTCTATATGCACCTTGTTATTGCTACAGTGTCTGTCAAATCCACTTATTCCAAATTCCATCAGATACAAAATGAAATTTCATATCCATCAGATTTTGGAATGTGAGACAATAACAAATTAAGTTTAACATAAGATAAAATATCTATTTCTGTTTTTTTTTTCTTTAATATAGAATAAAAGTTCATTCATGAGAAATGTGAGCTATTGAATTATTCTCACAAAAAGAACAAAGAAAAATGAAATAGTTTTCCAAGAGTTCTTCAGTCAATTGAATTCATTCTTTGTGTTGTTCTTAGCACAAAATTCCTGCAGTTTTCTTTTGGTGCACATTTCATAAGAAAAATAAAAGAATGTTCGGGATTCATATTCAGCAAACAAAAAAACATAACTAAATATACAGACAACTTCGTTTATTTCCCCACAATGCATATTGTGCAGCTGCTACCATTTCTATCAAATGTGCACAATGGGTGATTCTAATTTATATACAAAAATGTTCTCTAATTCCTTCTCTATTAAACAAAGAAAACAACCTCACTGCATTGCCTTATGCATCTAGAAAACAAGTTAATGTATACCACTTCTATCAAATTTTCTCAATCTCTACTAGGGTTCCATGTCATCACAGATTTGGATCTTACCTCAGAGAAGGAAAAGAGTGTCCTTATCTCTCTAGATATGGTCTGCATTGCCAGATCTTTTTTTTTTCTACTTCTCCTTTGCATATGGATTTCTTATGTTCTTCTAGTCTACAGGAAAAATGGCTGCTTTCTCCTTTATATTCTTTTCCACATTTGCATGGCATGCTGTAAATGTAATATATTGTTAAACTCTTCTCTCATAAGAAACCAACTCTAGTGAAGAGATTTTGAAGAATAGTTGTGCTATTAAAATCCACTGATGTTGTAACTTTCACAGAACCTTTGAATCCATTCATATGCACAGCTGACATGTTGGGATTTAGCTATATAGTTGGATTAATGTTTCTCTTGCCCATCTTAAAATCATCATAGATAGATGCTCCTACTAACGAACATTAGAGGCTTTATTGCCTTGCTTGAGGTGAAATGATTAAAAAAAAGAAGGAAATTTATGTCTTGTTCAGTTTTATTTCTCTATCTTCTTTTATATAATATGTCCTGAAGGACATGGTCAGTCATGGCTCTCCACAACTTCCTGTATTTTGTTGTTCTAAGTAACTCTTGCCTCTTTACCAGTCCATTTTGTCCTTTTTATTTCTTTGTCATTCATTCACTCAAACTCATTAAGTGGGTTACTTGCTGTCCCCACCCGTTTCATTTCTTGCAGTCAATGTCCTGTGAATTTTAATCAAATGACGCTTGAGCTCACTCTTAGGGATCTTAAGCCTAACTTGCTGACTATTACACCACAATCTCATTTACTATATATAGCTTGGTTTTAGTACAAAGCTACACCTATAGAGTATCCAGTAAGAATCACTTCGCACACCTGTGTTAAATAGCAATAGGAAGGTTCAGATCCAGAAAATTGTAAGTTCAAGATCATAATTACAATAGTCAAAAACCAATTTTGCAAGTCCAGCACCAGAAAATACAGGGACCATAAATCAAAAGGGAAAAAAAAATTCACATCACAACTCACAGTGTACAACTATCTCTTCACCCACAAAGAGCTAAAATACAATCCTATGGTCCAAAGTAGAATTCTTCTATTGGGGGTGCGGGGGATAAGAAAAATTATGATTGGTTGAGACTGGTAGGGAAGTGCAAGCAATTACCATGTCACTGGATCTAACTAACGCCTTTATCCACTGTGCTATGTGTCCTTGAGGACAGGACCTAAAGAGTGTGAGTTCAATATCCAGTTAAGGCAGTGGAGTACTTTCAGAGGGAAATTAACAGGAGATAACTGATAACTGACATCCATTAAACGTGGCACATGGAACTAGAACAGTCTACCCCAGTGAGTGAAATAAAGGGTTCAGTTTGACATTCCAACCACCTGAAGAAGGCCTGAGCGTACAACGGCCCAAACGTTGTAATAAATATGGTGGCAAAGATGAGGACAATAGTCCGAATAATGTAAATAATGTAAGCTTAGTAAATAGCAAAAACAATTCAAAGAAACAATTTCTGTCTATCATTTTCAACCAATGTCAAATTAAAATTTTTTTTTTCTTTTTATTCATATGAGTTTTTTGAAATACAAGCCAGAGTGCGGCTGATTCTTTGCCTTGAGATATGAACTGAATTTTGAGATATGAGTGAGTTTCAGTTAAGCATCTGCTAGTTGGCACAGTGAGTACCAAGCTACAACACTATTTCCACTCACAATGCACATGTTCACTTTGCTCTGGAAGGATCTCTGTTGTGTTGTGTCTTTTTTGCCATTGCGAAATTCCTTTAGCAATACCATGGATCCAAAGAAAGTAAGTTTAAAGAGCAGTGGTGAAAAACTGAAACACATGATTTCCCTTGTGGTAAAACAGGAAATTATAAAAAACATAAGGAAGACATATGAGTAATGGATTTGGTGAGAGAGCATGAGCATTCTACATCAATGATAAAAGTATTCTAAAAAAATTAAAAAAAAATTAATTACAGTAATGGATAAAATGTATTTATTTAAAAAAATTAAATGATAAAGTTAATCTTTGGTATTGTAGACTAGGCTAGCTGTTCTATTTTTTCTCTCTCTCTCTCTCCCTCCCTCCACCACCAGTTGGCCTATGACTCATCTGACCTTCAAGGTTTAGTACACTTTATTTCTTTACAATTTTTTTCTCTTTTATTTTGTTTGTAAACTGCATTTCTTGTTTACTCACACATTTTTGCTTGTAAGAAACCCACAAATCCAAAAATAGGAGTGAGTTTTAGAAAAAATAGATGATTTTTAGGAGCCTAGAAAAAATTGGAAATATTCTCATTATATTTCAATGGGGAAAACTGATTTGAGATATAACTCTTTTCAGTTATGAGCTCAGTCTTGGAACAAATTAAACTCATATCTCAAGGCATTACTGTATATGATTTATAATCTATATAATATTATAAAGATCCTCCTTAATATTTTGAGGAGATTCTGTTGACTTACTATTTTGCCTCTCCCTTTTTGACTTCCATGCTATTCTCCAGGAGAGTAACTCCTTGATACTCCTCAGATTAATGTCTTCTATTGACATCAAGTGGAAAGATTATATTCAATCAATTGCTAGGTCTGCTGCTCAGAAAGCTGGTTCACTGTGTTGTGCTAAACAATTTTTCTTACTAGAATTTATCTTATACATTCATAAGTCTACCATTCATTCATACATTAAATATTACTGCCACATCTGATGCTTCTGCTATTTATTTAGAAATTCTTGATAAGAGCCATAGACAAATCTACAATTTTATTGGTCCTAACCTGGCATCTCAGATTCAGTCACTTTCCCACTACTATAACATAGCTTTCTTGGGCCTTTTTCATAAATATTTTCATGGTAATTGTTCTGATGAATTTTCCTCTTTGGTACCTATACATTATGAATTTAAGCATACTAAGTTACAGTTGAAATGACTAGATGTAATCGTACGTTCTATGCTAACAGTTTTTTCTCTTACGCTTCTCACTTATAGAGCTCTCTTCCAACTTCATGCTTTCCAGTCAACCTTGACCTTTGAAAATTTAAATGCAGTGTTAATTGTTATCTTCTGTGTTCTTAATTCCTGTTCTTTTATTGTTCTCTCTCTCCTTAACATTTTCTTTTGCTCATATTCTCTGACACTCAGTAACCCTTTGCATCTTAGAGGCTTTATTGCCTTGCTTGAGGTGAAATGATTAAAAAAAAGAAGGAAATTTATGTCTTGTTCAGTTTTATTTCTCTATCTTCTTTTATATAATATGTCCTGAAAGACATGGTCAGTCATGGCTCTCCACAACATCCTGTATTCTGTTGTTCTAAGTAACCTCTTTACTAATCCTTTTTATCCTTTTTTTTCTTTGTAATCCATTCACTCAAACTCATTAAGTGGGTTACTTGCTGTCCCCACCCCCTGCATTTCTTGCAGTCAATGTCCTGTAAGTATTAAATTCTCTTATAAAACAGTAAATATCATAATGAGTACATGAAATTGAATGTTACTCTAAAATAATTCAATATATTGTTTTCTTTGTTATTCACTTGTCTTGCTGTTAGATATTTTACATTTCTTGAGTTGTTTCATTGATATTTTTCAGGACTTTTTGTCATTGAAAAAACGCCATGGTCTTGGAGATGTGCGGAAGGTACACCTACAGAAGTCAGCTGACGAAGGGTTGGGAATGTCTATAACAGTAAGTCACCTTTAATATTACATAAACAGTGTATGTTGCAAGTGAAAATATTTTTTAAATCTTTGTTTGCATTATTTGGATCATTTATTCCTATTTGTTGTTTCCTCTATAATGTTTGGTTTCAGAAAATGGTGATTTTTTTTCTCAATAGCAATCATGTAATCTTTTCTGTGCATATGTATAGTGCATTGTGAAAGAACTTCTGACCCCTTTTTTAAAAAAATATCCTCAGTTATATACATAGAGTCCACAATAGTGCAATTAATTATGAAAATCATAGTCTTTACAATGGCTATATAGTATGCACCTGAACAGGGTTACATAAATACATACTGTTTTTTGAATTCAGAGTTGTTCTTCTCCTAGACTGGTTGCCAACCTCAACTAAAGAGAAAAATCTACCCTGTTATTTAAACCCATAACTAGGAGGAGAAGAAATGGAGTCTTTTCTTTTTTCCAAGAGTATTGGTGCAAAAGTGAATGTAACATACTTGGCCAAAATTTGAACTTGTCTTGCCGATCCCTCTTTCCATCTATTAACTGCTATATTACCTTCATTTTTCTTACACTCCTTCCTTTCATTTCATTTCATTTCATTTTTATATCTTATAGTTTGTTTTTTTTTGGTAGTATTGATGATTACTTTCTTAGCACACCTATGAAAGTTAGTTTCAAAGTAAAAGAAAATTAAAATAGGTAAATGTTACTTTCATATTTCAGAGAAATCAGTGGAAGAATTTGAACAAATTTTAGATAAATTTTGGCAGCCAATATCCCAGCTTGATTCCCATTCAATATATGCTACAAATCACAATCTGTATTTGTATATATAGAAGAGTGCACCTACAAACACATATAAAATCTCACATAAAATAATATCCTGATTTGTAATCAATAATTATTATATTTATTTGTATACAATAGAGATCACTGTTTTTACATGTAGAAAACACATTTTATTTCTGTATATAATATAATCCCCACTTTACTATACTTGCAAAATGTGGAACGATCAATTTTCGATCTACTCAATAATGTGTTTTACTGGGAGAATTTTAGAAAGTCTGTGTAGTTCACAGGCTCTGATATATTAAGGCACATAAACAAGACAAAGATGCAGGTTTCTGCCATGAAAGAAGGTATCCACCAGCCATATTGGTTAGGATTGACCATCAGTGAAAAGTAAATCAACATTTCAAGTTTATCATTTATGAAGGATCCATTTTAGAGTAGGGCTGCTGTACATCTTGATTTCTTCATTAATACAAATCATTTAAAAAAAAGAATATTTCACTTATTTATTATGCAGTTCTTTTCATTCACATTTGAATATTCGATTTAGATTTAAAATTTCCTGCATTTTTCATGAATAAATATGGTAAATAAACAAAGAATAAAATACTGTAAGGAATACTTTGATGTTTATTTATATAACTATGCAATTATTGATGATGAGATAAATGTTGAAATCTCAACTGTAACATATATATAATAATAATAATAGCTGGCCTCTTGTATTTGAGGATACCTGTTTACTAGGGCAACTAGCCAATCCCTATTGCAGACTCTCGCTCAGGAACATTTGTGTTTGTTCACCACCTACAGAGCCCACCTGTGGTTTATACTGCAACTATCCTGAGCAGACCTTAGTTACAGTTTTTGGGAGAGAGAGTGTTATCTTGAATGATCAACAGTCTGAACAACACCAGCATACTCAAACTCTCAGTCACATTGACCCCAAGTGTTTCATCTACCCAAATTTACTCACAAGGCTTGGTTCAACCCAATATATATATATATATATATATATATATATATATATATATATGTGTGTGTGTGTGTGGGCACATTTGATTGAATACCACAGACAAGGTGCTTTGATTTAGTTTATACAATTTCTTGTGATTTAATAATTTTTTTTCTTTTCAGATGATAAATTATATAAAAACCTGTCCAATTGTTCTTTTTTTTTCTGAGCGCTTCCAGCTATACATTTAGCTATTTTCGAAAGCACTTGGATAAAGAGCAATTGGACAGTTTTTATATAATTTATCATCTGAAAAGAAAAAATTATTGGATCACATGAGAAATTATATAAAAAAACTAAATCAATGAAATGTGCATGAAAGAAGGATTGCTGCCTAAATACACAAATATATATATATATATTATCCAAATTACCTGCACCTTGCTGCATGCCACACATTTCTTTTGTAAGAAAATGATGATTGATTTTAATCATTGTGAAGAAAAATGATTCATTTCAATATCACTCAATGACCTTTGCTGATGTGACCTCCATCTTCTGAATTTCTCTTTTTATATTTTGGATAGGAGTCATGTCCTTGTTCAAATTTAAATTTAATTTAAAATTTAAATCAGAAGGAAAAAAAATTTTCAGTGGGGAGTTTGTGCCTTCTCGGGGAACCCCCTTTGAGCAAAATGAAATATACTTATCCAATTACCCTGGGTAATGTAGTTTCAGAATATGTATGGTTATGGAGATCTATCTCCAAACCCCTAGGAGGAGTTTGATAACAAACAAACAGAGGCCCCAACATTTTATATATATATATATATATATATATATATATATATATATATATAAAAAATATAGCTTTGAGGTATGCTATATTTTTAAGGTAAAGTGCATGATATCAAGGATAGATCCTATATAAATATAACAGTGGACATTGAGATCAACAACCAGCAGTGACAGTCTATTTCATGTTTCCACTGGCTTTTGACTTCAGTGTCTACTGTTATATATATTAATCATTTCACTCCAAGCAAGGTGATAATGCCAATTGGACATGGGTTTACAATGAGTGAAAGAGAATGAGAAGACTTTAGTTAGGAAAAGTGAGGAAAGGAGAAAAGAACAAGATTTAGGAAAACAGTAGATGGTGATTGATATTGCCTTTACATTTTTGAAGATTGTTGGTGGCAGAGAACCAAGGAATTGGGAATTCCACAGGCAAGAACTGCAAGAAAAGAAACTGTTAGAATAGAAGAGATAGTTATTTCTAGCTAGTTTAACAGTAAAACTGAGACCTACTTGTCAATCAAGTAGCATGTTATGAGGAAGTGCTGAAAAGTTCTCAGCCCAATCAAAATGCCTTTTCAAAAAAAAAATAATATGGATGTTAGTCAGATTTTGTGAAGTGTGTTGGGTCAAGTTTTCACCACCCCTTTGTTATAGTATTCAAATGTTTTTGATGAAGAATTATCAATTATTATTAATTGTTTTTATTTATATTTCTTTCATCTTATTTTCAATACCTTAAGAGTTTGCCTTGCCATTGCAATGTCTTGGACGACAAGGTATGAGTCATCCAAATTTAGCTATACAGCTACACGAGTTTCAAATAGATGGAATGGTTGGAAAAGGTGAAGTGGCAGGAATTTTTGATAATTTTCAATAATGAATAACTTTGGAAAGTTCACTGCCTAAATTAAGAAACAGGAAGAAATTCTTTTAATAAAAGACACGTCTTGAATGTATATTGAGAATTAATATATATATATGATCCATGATATGGAATATATAAATGTGATCTATCACTAAAGATGCTGGAAAAATGGCCAGTTCTCTGTACCACACCAGTAAGTATCTGACTCTTTCTGCTATGCTTTACCTTTACCAGAACCAGATCAGGTTGAAAATGGACTACTGCTGCTATATCTGGGCTGAAGTGGCCCAATCTTCACTTTGCAGTCTTGATTGAGTTCAGAAGTGTTTATGTGGCCTTAAGGAGGGTTTACATATTTTTCAACCTTTAACCCCTTTCCCACAAATGAAATATTGAATGTCTCTCGCTACTCTATCACTATTTCAATGACGATCTGCATTCATTAGTTTCACCAATTCTAACCTTCACAACTGACCCAACATGCCATACACAAACTCAAACCATCCTCATTCCCATCATATTCCATTATTAAGAAGGAAATCCTGCATAAATATCTTTTTCCCAGAAACTGATACTTTGTGGAATTGACTCCCAAGAGGTTGCTTTCCTGATCTTCAAGTCTAAGGTTAACCGCATATTCTCATAACCTGCACGTCTTACCTCTTACTCCTACTGCGCATACAACAACATTCTTCAGTAACACTCTAACTTGAGTGACTCTTTGACCTTATATAGAAACTGTAATGCTTAGTCATATACAGTGAATTATAAAAAATAAATAAGACTCCCCACTCATACTGAAACAGTTATATTTTTTTCTTATATAAACCTCTACTTAAAGAAGACAACAGAAATGATAGTTTTTACATTTTGAATCATAATTGACTTGTAAAAATTAATGCATGTACCTGCAGGTATATCTGTATGTTGGTTGGAGCAGGAAGCTGAAAACAATACTCAAGAGACTCAGAGGGTCGGGTGAAGAAATTGAATACTGTAATTTGGCAGTTAATGTCAAACTGGCATTTATAAGAAAAGAAGAGAATAGGAAAGTGAATTGAAGATGACCTCTCATAATACTTTAATAGATGACTTTTTAAAATTGTGAACTAGCTTAGTACTTTTGTCAGGATAGTCTACTCTTGATACTATATGTATTCTTAATCTGGTGCTTTCAAAAGCATATATATATATATATATATATATATATATATATATATATATATATATATGTGTGTGTGTGTATATATATATATATATATATATAATAACTGGCCACTCGTATTTGAGGATGCCAATCCCTATTGCAGATTCTCACTTAGGCACATTTGTGTTTGCTCAACATCCACAGAGCCAAACTGTGGTTTATACTGAAACTAAAAACAGTTTCTGGGAAAGAGCATGTTATCTAGCATGATCAACAATCTGAACAACACCAGCACACTCAAAACCTCAGTCACGATGACTTGTGACTTTGTAATAGCACAGCTAATCATGGCCAACAAGTGTTCCATCTATCTAATTACACTCACCAGGTTTGGTTCAACCTATGATATGGTTTTCAGACATTTTCCAAAGATGCCACAC